AACTGTTCTCCTAGCAAATAGTTATGAGTATAATAGAATCCAGAAGTTCTCTAAAAACTTGACAATTATAAGAGGAAAGTGATAGAAAGATCAGAAACAGGGCAGTTAGTTGGCTTGGTTCTTGCAGAAATGATATAGTGTGAACAAATATTCTCAACACTTTGTAAGTACAGATGCTCCTCAACTTATGATAGGGTTACCTCTGGATAAACCTATTGCAAATCGAAAATATTTTAAGTCAGTTTATGATAATTTTAACTTACGACGGGTTTATCTGGACAAAACCCCATCATAAGTTGAGGAGTGTACTGAATGCCTAGTATTTTCACACCAAGTAAAGTTGAAACATTGTTAAATTGAACCATCTTAAGTCAGGGACTGTTTACAATAGAAACGTTATGTTGAAAGAGCATGCCAGTAAATTTTGTACTTACTTTGAAGAGGCAAGGTGCTTCTAATACACTGTAACTCTATTTCCTCTGCCCATTCCATCTTTGGCAGATTCTGCATCATCTCACAGTTACCATTCTTTGCCATGGACACTGGTTGACTGTTTATTGGTGTCTTTCTCAAGGTCTTCATATGCTGTTGAACTTCCGCCAAGAGAACGGCTTGTATTGCTTCAGTTACCTGTAAAGTTTTTTTTTTTATGAATTATTTTTGATATTATTAGAAATGCTTGGATGTCTTCCAAAAAAATCCAAAGCCCAGAATTTTGATTTCAACAGGTTTTCCACAAATAACTCTCAATTCTGCTGAATTAGTATCTAAAACAATTGAAAAGTGGGTAGTGAGAACTGGCACCCAAATTCTCATGGTGTTTTTTTGCAAATGCAAGAGATTCTAAGAGGATATTTGAGAGGAGTTTCAAAGTCCAGAGTGTTAACCATTATACTGTAGGGCCAATGGGAGTTTTCAATTCTTTCTCTGAACTAGAAGATATGTGAATATATCATATCGTTCTTAAAGACAAGGTTAGATCCTCAAATTATGTCTAGCTTCAAAGCACAATTTCGCTAAAAACATTGGATTTAAACTATGTTTAATACAGAAAGCAAAAGGACTTTAATAATAAATGTCGCTAAACTGTGTGTATGCATATGTTATTTCACACAGATTAAAGTACTGCAAAGCACGCCTTCCAGTTGTTGTGCATACCTAGTCAAGGGCCTCTAGCTGGGTGGAGGAGAAGGAGATGCTTGTCAAAGAGCATCTAATCAAATATCTTCGTTTTTAAAATGAAGAACCTGGGACATGACATCCTAAGGTTACACAGACTTGGTGGACAGACCTCCTGATCCCTGATTCTACGTCCTCTGCAGTACATGTCCACCTGTGACTCTGTATCTTCATCCCTCAGTGCAAAGCTAGGGATAGTGTGCCTGGGCCTCTTCCAAGCAAGAGAGGAGGCAAGGTTCAGGGGTTAGGTAGAGCCCAAGGAAAGCTAGGAGCTGATCAGGGAGAGAAAGAGAGGGACATCGCTGATACAGGCAAACTTGGAACACCTTCCCATGATCCTTCTTTGGCCAAAAGTTAAACATTTCATATAGCCACATCCCATGACTGTCCATTTTCCCTTCAGAAGGCTGCCCTCTGTCAACTATGTTCCACAATTGCCAGCCTACCCACAGGAATGCCTTGAGCTAAGCATTTGGGACAACACCAACTGAGAGGAGTGATCTAGAGATGCTGTGGCCCAAAACTGAACATGTATTCATTTAAATATTTATTCAGTCTCTTTCTGTGTCATGGTAGCAGGTGAGGTCTTCAGGCTTCAGTGATACTCAGAGAGCTTATGCTGAGGATAGATGCTCACTGAACTACTCGGGCAGAAGGAGTTGGAATCCTAACTTTTAAATATAGGGACTCTTTCCAAGAATATTGGAGCAGTTTCCTGATTGCTGATTATCCCCCTGTCCTTGTCCAGCTCACACTCGAATGCTTGATTAGGGAGTGAAAAAAGCTTAGTGAATGTCATGATTTTACTATTGCATACTATGTATCCTAACATGTAGTACTGCCTATCATGATACAAGTGAATGATGCCTACTCATGAACATCATGTGATGAACTATTCAACATTGTAATATCAATTACATACCATGAATCTAACATATAGTTCTACATATCATGATGCTCATGAATCATGTCTATTAATATCTACTAATGATGAGATAGGATAATATTGTATACTAACACATACTACTACATATCACGATATTGCTAAACCATGCTGATTTATGTGCATCACATGATGGGATATATTTTATTAATTATTCATCATGAACAATTATATATTATTGAATTTATTTCATTTTAACTTTGCCATACATGTTATTTGACAGCACTGTTTCCAAGACGTGGATGATGTGGTAGAAAGAACTAGAAATCAGAAGTGAGAAGGTTTGAGTTTCTCATCTAATTACAATAGTTACTACAAATGCAACCACAAACTTCTCTGAATCTTTACGTCCTTACTTACAAAACAAAGTCTATAATCCTGAGAGAGGTTAGGTTGAGACCATTCAATAACAAAATAGTGTGTGGAACTCGCTCTTTCCATACCTATCAATCAAGGAGGATAGTGGAGGATATTCTTAGACCACCAATGTGTCCAGACTATGGTATAACCCTCAGAATGGGCAGTTTGGCCACATGCCCATGTTGGATTTATGGCTGCCTTCTCACACTGGGATGATAACCACCTCCAAGGTGCACCCACAATTGTGATATAAAATGTCATCTCTCCCACTGGATATAATATCCTATGTCATTCTTTCTTAGACATATACAAGAATTTATATAATTTCATTTAACATTTCTAATTATTGAATTTACATGTTCTGACTTCACATTTTTTAACTGTTAAATTTTTTACATAGTTGTCACTACAAATGCATATTTCAAAAATAATGATATATCATCAAAAAACAAGAAGAGAAATAATAATGGAGTAAAATATATTAATCATGATGAGTAGGGTACTCAGAGCCACAAAAGTTAAAGTGAATACTGAATGACACACATCCAACTGGAAAAAACTCAAAATACACACTTTACGCTTGGTGTGAAAACAATATTCAGTATTATTCCCATTCAGAGAGAGAGGCTATATCTTATAAGCATGTAATAATGATATCACAGTACCTGGTATTGAGTGAGTACTAAATAAATGCTAATGGAATTGAAATAGATTCTGTATACTTTGAAATATAAACTGTGGAAAGCATAATTTATTGATAGTTTATAACTATCAATACTTGAGTCTCTAGTATAGAAATACAGTAGATAAATTTTGCAGATAATCAATTGGGATAGAATTTTCTCCAACAAAATATAAAATTTTTATATAGTATTTTCTATAATTTTGTGATTTTAATAATGAACTAGAATTAAGCACTATGGCTATAAAGCTGTCGTTTAAATGCATAGAAATAATTTTCTCTGAAAACGTAGATATGCAAAGCATTATACTCTTTTATGAGAGAATGTGCAGAGATTGAAAATCAAGTTTACAATCCATTGCCTGGAAAGAGTCAGCCATAAATCTGGGCTATATACTTATTACTAGAGGTATAACTGAGCTATAGGCAAGCTAGAAATTTTAGTGATGATATTCCACTAACACCCTGGAACAGCAAAGTACTGTAAAATAGCACAGAGTATCATGGAGACTCATAAGAACACCTGCATCCTGCTGGTTGTTCCAATGTTCAGAGTTTTTGTTATAAAAAAAAAAGCATTTTCCGAACATTCTGGCTCACACTGGCCTTTCATGTACTTGCATTGGCTCCTGGAAAAGCAACATTTCTCCCTGGAGGCCCGATTTTGTACCCACTGGTGTTACATTATAAAATCCAAAGAACTTCAGTGCAGTGCCAGAAACATGTAAATTATCAACCTCCAAACTTTCCTGTTTCATTTTCAGCATTTATTTTTATGTTGGGAGTTTAGTGCATAAGAAGCAAAAGAAACCATCTCTGGACAAACTCACTCAGCTGCAAAATTAACTCATTCTTACCCCCACCTTAAAGGTAAACACTCGATTGTTGAAGTGGATCTTGTTGTGTTTTACAAAAGTATTCCATTACCATCTAGTGCTCCTAAAATACATAAAAAGAAAAATCAAGCTAACATGATTCAACTAACTGCTTAAATGAATGGCTTTATAAAGAATGAGGATTGGCTATTAAAGCAGTTAATGTATACTTGGAAGAGTCCCTGTTGTTCCTGAAAGGCCCAGGAATTCTCATTCCCATTTTATGTGTGAGAAAGATAAATAATCAACAAGTTAAACCTATCCTCCAGAGTCATGCATCAGGCTAGTAGCAGAGATAAGAGAACTTTGGGCCAGACATGGTGGCTTACGCCTGTAACCCTAGGAAGGCCCTTTGGAAGGCCAAGGTGGGAGGATCACTTGAAGCCAGGAGATCAAGACCACAAGACCAGCCTTAGCAACATAGTGAGAGTCCATCTCGACAAAAAAAAAAAAAAAAAAAAATTAGCCAAGTATGATGGCACATGCCTGTAGTCCCTGCTACTCAGGAGGCTGAGGCAGGAGGATCACTTGAGCCCAAGAGTTAAAGTTGCAGTGAGCTATGATTACTCCACCACAGTCCAGCCTGGGCAACAGAGTGAGATCCTGTCTCTTGAAAAGAAAAGCAAAAAAAAAAAAAGAAAGAAAACTTTGAAGCTTGGACTTCCTGTAGAGTAAACAGCAAATGCTCTGGTAATATTTGTCCTATGGCCAGTATTTCATACAAGGTCACAGAATTATAGAACCTTAAAGGTCCGTTAGTCCAGGCAAGTTCAAACCACATTAAAATTTATCTGGGCCAGGCGGAGTGGCTCACGCCTGTAATCCTAGCACTCTGGGAGGCCGAGGTGGGCAGATCGTTTGAGCTCAGGAGTTTGAGACCAGCCTGAGCAAGAGTGAGACCCCGTCTCTACTGAAAAAATAGAAAGAAATTAGCTGGACAACCAAAAACATATAGAAAAAATTAGCCGGGCATGGTAGTGCATGCCTGTAGTCCCAGCTACTCAGGAGGCTGAGGCAGGAGGATCGCTTGAGCCCAAGAGTTTGAGGTTGCTGTGAGCTAGGCTGACACCACGGCACTCTAGCCCGGGCAACAGAGTGAGACTCTGTCTCAAAAAAAAAAAAAAAGAAAAAAGAAAATTTATTTGAAGGTCAAATGATAAACTACAAAAGATCTTTAGATTAGAGCAATTTGGGATGAAAGTTTTGTTGAGTCCTTTTCCTTAAGGATTTTTTTCCCCCACTGAGGAATTTTTTGGCTACTGGGGAAAAAATATTCTCACTTTTAATAGATAGAGTCATTTGAGGCAACTGCTAATGCGTTGATATTTTAGTATGTACTAGTGTTTATTCTGATTATTGTAGAGGCTGTTTGTGTAGCTATTCATTCATTCATTAAATATTTATTGACTGGCTACTGTCACTATTGCTTTTCTGGGCAGTGGTCAGAGAAGGGTGAATGAGACAAACAAGGTCACTGCCCTCAACAAGTTTATATAACAGTGAGAAGACAAAAAATAAGCAAGCAAGAAAGCAAATGATATGATTTCCATTAAGAGCAATCACAACAATAAAATAAAACTGGGTAATGTGATGGTTACCAAAGGTGGGGGGCGGAGGAAGAGGTGGTGGCGATATTAGTTGGAGTGATCAGGGAAGAGTTCTCCAAGGAGGTAGATTTTCAGCAAAGAGCTGGATGATTAATGGAGAAGTGGGAATTCCAGCCTGAGAGAACAGTAAGATCCTGACGTGTAAATGAGCTTTGTGTGTTCTGAAAATAAAAAGAAAGTCAGTGTGACTACATCAGGGTAAAACAGGAATGGGGAAATGATGAGAAATGCGATTAGGCTGGGGGCAAATCACGTGGAAACTTGCAGGCCACAATCAGTTTCCATAGCCATTCCAACTGTGTATGGTGCCAATCCCTAGAATTTGTTCTGTTTCCCTATAACCAAGAACAACCATTTGCAATTGGAGTTATTGCTGTTCTCATCTTGGAAATTCGACATTTATCAAGTTCGTGATGATGAATAAAGTTCTAATAAACATTCATCTAATCAATGCACAGATATTTATTGTACAATGTACAAAGCTACTGGTAAGATTCTGAGACCCAAAGAAGACTTAAAAGAAGGACTTATTTTGGACATTGAAGAAACCGGCTCTGTAAACCAAGTCACAGATAAGGTACTCTCAGAATTTAAAAAAAAAAATGATTTCTAATTTCACATAACCAAATTCCCACATGTAAGTCACGGCTCATTTTGAAAATCAAATGATAGATAAGGACTTCCTCCCCAAACTGAAACCCAACCGGGCAAGAAGTTACCTACGGCCGTGTGAGTCTCCCTCCCTCAGCCGGTCTATTGACGCTCCTCGGTGAATGGTGCACACTTGCTTATGCTGTCTTCCATGTTTTCCCTCATCTCTGGCTCTGCATTAGGGCTGCCCTGGCAGGACCATTTTGTGAGGACAAGTAACTACCTACTTGTACTTTCAGCTAAAGAAGGGTACCGATGAACCACAGCAGCGAGGATCTCGTCCAGTAACTCCGAGAACATGCACTATTGTCATACCTGCACAGATTGGTCTCTCCAACAGGAAATTAGCTTGAAAAGCGAAAGGTCAGCCTCCGGTACATGGGATCCGTTCTTACCTAGAAACAGAACACATTTGTATCTTGAGACTATCAAAGACAGATGCAACCCAATGGTCCTAAACCCTGGCTATACATAACAATCACCTGGGGGGCTTTTTTTTCTTCTTTTTCACCAGTGCCCAGGTTCAATCTTCCAGAGACTCTGATTTAACAGATCCTGGGGTGGGGCAGGCATTAATACTTTGTAAAAGCACCTCAGATTACTTACATGTACAGCCAGAGTCAGGAACCATTTATATATATGCACATGTATTTCTAACAATCATATTAACACATATTCACATCAAATCAAATTCATTTTTATGTCTTAAACTTACCTTTGCATCTTTTTGCCAACCCAAGACAATTCACCGAATTTTACAATTCCTTCCTTATAGAAATAGTTCCTAAAATGCAACCCTGCCGTGAATCAGTATCTATCACATGTAAAATCAAATAAAAGACTTCCTTTGATTTGTCCTTCCCCAGCTAGACCACTCTGATCAATAGGTATAGCACTAATGCTTTAATTTGACTCATTTTGTTATGCATTGTTTCTTTTAAGTTTGCCCTCTTGAGTGTCCTTTTTATCTATTTGCCTTAATGTTCAGTGTGAATTTTTAAGAATGAGCTAGGCCTTGCTCTATTTAAATTGATCCATAGAGTGTCCAACAGTTCCCTCCACAAAAAAGCACTTAATAAGTGCCTTTTCATTAAATGAAAATGTCCATAGAATCATCCAAATGAAAAATCGATGAATTAAGACTTTCTGATGGCTAAAGTATATTATCTAGGTGCCGGATCCTGGGAGTGAGATAGGAAAGAATGATAAAGCTTATGCTAGTGGGAAAATTGTTACTATAATTGTCTATTTAAATTACTACATTAATAATTGTTTGACATCCCGGTATCAACTATTTAAATTAGCACTTGTCCAATATGCTTTTCACTGAATCACCATTTTATATATTAATATATACCATATACATTTATCACATTAGTAGTCAAGGAAAATGTGATGGAAGGTATCTGATATAATGCAAATTGAGAACATGAAGGATATATATAAGAAACTTCTGACCAATTATTAATATTATTTTTTCCTTATGAAGCATATCACATAAACTTGAAATGACCAAGAGTAGTGCACAAAACATGTGAAGTATAACAAAGCACTATGATTTTGAAATCATATTTTCCATTTTTTCATGAACACAGCAGGTAAAAGAAAATTTTCTTTTGATCTCTCTCCTTTCTCCCTTTCTGATTTTGTTGACCTTGTGACTCAGCCCATCAAAGCTAAGTATTGGTCTCAACTGTTAGTACTTACTGGCATCATGGGGTACTTCACAGCACAATTTAATGTGATATTAAAATTTTAATATGTGATAGGAAGGAGAGCCAACTCGTCTTGGCAATGTCAGTGAATGAAAGAAGTAATTGCAACTTCAGGGGGAAAGATAAAAAGAAAACATCCCAGCCGTATCAATATTACTCAGCCACCATTCCTGCTGCCAAAGTGAGTATTGGTTCCTGTCAACCCTTTAGAATGACCACCTCAGAGTATTATTTTATTCTTCAGGATTGGGCTTTATAACATTAATATCATGAAGTGAAT